TTTTCGAGTTACTACCATGTGAGTGAATTAGGTAAAAATTACTCATTTTAAAGATTATCAATCATAAAAGTAAACTAACTTAATTTCACAATTCGTCCATCAAATATAACTTGTGACGTTTTTAAGATTTTTAAAGAGATCACATAATATCTTTTATAAGAATGACACATTTAGAAGTATATCATTTTTGTAAAAGAAAAGAAGTCTTTTAGAGAACTTAAAATTAAAAAAGTTTTGATGATCGAAGTTTAAAGAAGAAATGGTTGTATTTTAAATTTAGTTATTTTAGCTAATAAAGGTAAATTATGGCATTTCAAGTTATGTTATACTTTTGAGAATTATTTCGAATTTGTTAATTTTATAGAATATCAAAATCGTCACAATGTAAATAGAATTTGTTTTCAAAAATTGTAATATAAAAATGACAAAAACGACATTTGATTATGGTTCTAAGAGTATGTTCTTTTTACTGACATATGTTTTAAAGATCATATAGGAGATAGATATTAATCACTGATGAAGACTTTGTAAGTCAAAACGTCTGGAATGCAATTAATGTACTTTATAATTAAAACAAATTGACTTATAATTGAACAGTTTTTGCTAGTTATAAGGCTTAATATCAATTTATAATTATATAATTGTATATTTTAAATTTTAAATTGCGATAAAATATTTTAATATTTTTCAAGCAATACTCTTGGACTTTGACTCTGTTTTTCGCTCGAATTTTCACGAGCACATCTTAAATCTTACTTTCCCTTATCTCTGGTAATGCTCCTGGATAATAGCATAGACGTGTAGTGCGAGTGCAGATGTTAATTCGAGTTGTTTCGTTGATATCCGCCGATACGACCACTTCTAATAACATTTTTGTAAGCAATTAGACAATTTCCGTCCTGGAAATTGCGCCTTTATTCCTGCTGCTATAGCGTCCAAAATTCCGACAAACAATAAATGCAAAAAGTTCCATTATATGGTCATAGTCCTGAATTTCGGAGCGTTCCAGAATTGGATAGCCGATATGGCACTGTTTTCCGCGGAAAACTTTTAAGTTTTCTGTAATGCAACGGTAGCAAGAATGAAATATAGAAGTAATTTATCGGGATCAAGATGCTTTTCTTGAGTGCTTTTAAGTAAGTAAGTCTTGCAATCCGCGCTTTTAAAGTGTATATTACATTCGAATATTACGCGCGCTTCTGTATTGTGCCGCCTCGAGAAGTTAACGGTTGTAGCGGAAGTAATTAGAGAACTCTTTTCCTCATAGACCTAAACCCGGGTTTTCCCTCATGAATTGTAAATGTGGCCAAGTTTTTTAATCTTAGTATCGCATCTGGAATCTCAGATTGTCTATTTACAATTCGCTCTCCTCGCTAGATACGGCGAACGGAAGGGCGTTTCGATTATCTCAAAAATGGGACATTGAGGGATTTACTTGGATTTATTCAGACTTACTCGAAATTCTCATCTGTTTTTATAAATAAATCACGAATAATTTTTATTAAAAGTTATTACTTAGAATAAATTAGTTTTGTATCTTTTTTATAAATTAGTAGAAGAACTTATAAAATAGAAATTAACTGATCTAAAAACGCGACACTGATACAATTTCAAAAGTGATGTCAAATATCGTTGAATAAAACATCATTTTCTTTCATATTCTCCATCATTTCAACCATAGTGGTAGTGAAATAGTGATGTATCTTGGCATATTTTTCGAAAAGAGCAAATATACATTTTCCGAGGAAATGTTAACTTTATCCTTTCGTGTGATGGTCGTTCGGACAAAAGATCGTACTTTTCTCTCTAACCCGTCAGAGCATCCTCGGTTTTGTTATATATGCAAATAATCTTTCGGTGTTCTTGAAACGGCAGTTCTTCCCCTCTAGGAAAACGAAATTTGAGGGTGTGAAAAATAATAATAACCGTAAAAAGGCGCTCAAGGCACAAGTAGAAATTCCATAAATAGCATCATCTTATTTGAATTATTAGTAACGATCTTGAAGAGATGTTTCGTGCAAATAGTTTTCATGTCATTTCAGGACGTATTGTACGTCCTCGTCACTATTGTAAATATTACACATTTTACTTGAGAATCGAAGAAAAATCGCTATTTGTAGAGAGAAGCGAATACGTTTCAGTTCAGTGATGTGAATCGTCTACATATTTGTGGGAATTGGTTGCGAGATCACGCGTCTGGAAAATCGATTTATTTATGCGCATTTCGATGCAAGAACGGATGATTTGCATTAAAGCAATCACAGAAAAGTATAAATTCAATAAATAGAAAGATCTGCATGTTAATCACACACGATTTATTTCGTGTAAACATAAAAAAGGAAATATACTGTATAATTGATATGATTAATAAAATTTTATAAGAAAAATAAAATTATATTTTTTTACGGACGATATTTTAACATATGTCTTGTTATATTATAATTAGATGAAGAGTTTGTAAGATGAAGTATTTGTTTTTGTCATTACATATTGAACGCAAGTACCAAAAAATCAAGAACATAAGATTCAAGAGCTTTTAAACTCCAAGACATAAAAACCTAAGAAATCAATAACTTGAGAATCTAAAAAATTAAACATACAATTAAGAATCTCTTAAGCGAGCAAGAGCGATAACTTAAGGATTAAAAATAGTGACCTGTTAATATGATATAGAATTTATAATATCTAAAGACTTAATGGCAGGTAGTCACCTGATTTCCTTTTTATGTAAACGATTAGCTGTTTGTATATTCCAATTAAAATCATAATTATTCTTATTATAGCTTTTTTTAATTTCTAAAATTTAAAGATGTTGTATTTTTTAATTTTACACACAATTTATTTAAACACAATTTATAAGAAGGATAAATAAAAACCAAATTAATTAATTAATTAAATATTAAATAAACATATTAAGTAGCTTATTATGAATTTCTCAAAGAAAAAGGATTTTTTATTAATATGACATTTGCGAATTTTCGATGAAATTGCATATTAAAAAATTTGTGAAAAATAGTTATTAAACAAGAAAGTGTATGTCTGAAAAGAAAGAAAATAATATCCATCAATTCTACAATTCACAATTTCTCATCGTCGCGTCGGGGTGTAAAAATATCCCAGGTGATTATTTCTGGTTAAAGAAATACAACGAAATTAATAAAAAAAATTAATATAAAAACAATTAAAAGATGCTCAACTCGATGTAAATGCGTTGTGAGACTTTGCTAGTACGCACGGTGCTTCATTGGCACGCTATTCAGCGCATTCACGCCTGCACGCATGTGCGTGATACAAAACGCGATTACGGGCAGTCGTCGTAGCGGCGCGGTAACGGTGGAGTTTCACAAAGTCGTCGTCGTCGTCGTCGCTACGACATTCTGATCTGCATCTAAATTGGAAAAAAAGCGTTAAGCTTCACGCGTCGTGAACACGCTGCAGACGCGGCTGCGAATTTTTACATGCATAGCGGATGTGTGATAATTTTGTTGCACATCATCAGGTGAAAGAGTAGCGAGTTTCCTATTTCTCATGTAGATTCATTGTTCTGATATTATAAAGTGATAAAAATTAAAGAAAATAATTTCCTCCTTGTGTTACAGTAATGAATAATTATCTAGAAAATGGATAGAAATCTCATTGTTTCATACAATACACTGATATATCTAATTATGGCGAATAATATTTTGTAAATTTCGGATTAATGGAATATATAACTTGTTAATGGAGAAGATTGTTTGAGCGATGTGGATGTACGTTATCTAAACGTATATATATACGGCGTTGGTGGAATTTATAATTATGCAATTTGAATAGAATGTTATACAATTTAAATGCAAATATAATTTCTTTTTCTATATGTATTACGAGAATCACTATAATTTAATATAACCGTCGAATTGACTAGAGAAATATGTGTACAAAAGTATGAAATCAAACTGAATTTCTCGATATCGTAATATTTGAGTATTTTATGTAGATTTTACGATAGAATACTCATGCATGCATGCATACCTTCTTTAATATTGTATTTATTTCACAACACAGCTAGTAATAAAATAAAAATAATTTTGCAGTTCGTTAATTTTATTATTTCTTTCATTTTTGATTGATTGCTGTTTCTGTGTGAGATTGACAATTTATTTTAACATGCATGCGCTAGCACAAGCTCGTTACGTATAATGGAAGAAAAAGATTTTTCCGCTTAATATTTTTCGACAACTTTATCGTTGCTTGCGAAAACAGCAATGCTTGTTACTTCGGTAACGATGTGGCTGTTGTTACTCACATATGTGGTAATACTCGACGTGGCAACACACACGTTGTTTCGAATATAGCTTTTAGCCGATTTTATTGCTCCATAAAGCATTCAGTGATGTTGACGCACAGGCATTGAAGCTGTAGATGCACTATCGTATATGCCATGTGACGATAGATTGTTCTACATTTTTCTTTCATTGAGATCTTGCCAATCTTTCAAAGGCGCAATGTAACCACCATATCGTGCAAAATTATGGCCGATAAAATATTATTGCAATATGAAAATATAGTATATCCGTGTATATACTTATTATGCTTTACGAATATGATACAAAAGCTAATCGTAAAATACAATTCTGCCGTGTGAACACCAATTTTGTAAAAGAGACAAAAATTCAGTGAGGTGTCGAATTTTTCTCTTTTATATTAATGAAAGACTTGCATTACGACGAAACTGCATTATGAAATATGAAATTGCCGTATTTGCAAATTTATCAAAGAAATGTTAAACTACATAGAAAGGGCAATTTTATACTGAAGTACAATAAATTTATAGATATTTCGGCAACACGTTCTTTTCATGTATAAAATCGGTGTTGCATAATCCCCTCGTGTCACAAACCTTATAGGTATCTTACAAACATGCGTCTTTCGTAAAATCGAGATTCATAAGCATTGTATTATTTTTCCTAATACGATGTAGCGCATGCGTTCCTGTAAACAGAAGATTCATGTGCGCTTACCTGGATGATCCTCGATTTGTTGAGGATCGTGTTTCCCGATGGCTGATAGCGTTCCATGTCCCTCAGGATACTACGTACGCCGACGTCGTCCGCGTCGACCAAACGAAAGGCAGTGATATTGACAAAATTGTACTTGAAGTCCTCGAGATCGAAGGTTTCGATATCCTGTGGAAAAGCGAGAGAGCGAATCGAGTCGCGGACCAAGTGGATCTTGAATGTGCGTTTCAATATCCCTAGGGTACTTACGAAAGTCGTGAAGAGGTAGTGGTACTTGTAATCATTCATCTGCAGCTGCAGGATCTGCAATATATGCGAAACTATACGGTCAGTCGAGACCGCTTTTGTAATAGGAAATATTATATGTAAAATACAAATCGATCTTATATAAAACAGAGCATGCCCAACTTTACGATTATATTTACCTTTCAAATACTTTTTTCACGTATAAATTTTTGCAACAATTTATAACCAATTCTTTCTTAATAAAAATTTATCTAAAAATGTCATTCTTTTTCATAATTTTTGAGAATATAATGAGAATCTTATTATACTGTCCATATAAGAAGATTTTTTATAATTAACCAGCATATACTTTTTAAATCAATGATAATATAAAATATTTGAAAAACAATTTTTTATATATATAATGCATATAAAAAGGATGTAGATTTAATATCATTAGTTTTAAACTATAGTTGAATTCATATTCATGATGTTCAATTAAATTCATGTTAATGTTTAAATATCACATTAATACGGTACAAAATTATATAAACAATGCAAGATGTTAAAAATCTACATCCATATTTTTTTTTAGAATATACATATTATTGAAATAAAAGTGGAAATGTATAAAATAATTTACCATTCGTAGAAAATGATGCATGTGCTCGGGTTTTGTGTCCACGATAATATTTCGAATTTCCTTGCTCTTCATTTCGGAAAGGATCTGCCTGTACGAGTTGGGGTCTGCCTGCCGGAGACTGACTTCGATGCCACGGATTTTCGGTGACCTAACTAGCTCCCGAAGCTTCATCAATCCTAAAATCAAAGCAGATACGTTATTTATCTCAATAACATATGTACTTCGATGGCATACGATATAAAAAGTTAATTTATGAAGATTGTCGATGTCAACACGAATTATTTGTTTCACGATCTCTGCAGGAATTATCAGGTCGGTCGCTTAATGACACAGAAACCCGTGAATCGCGCTATCCGACGAAATCAATACTCTCCAGTGCCTAAGTAATCAAGGTATCTGACTTGCAGGTCTTCCGGAGAGACACAGGCTCTGTTCTCTTGCAAGTTACCCACTGAAACTTTGACTCTTGAGATTCCGATGCGTGTTAGAGACGGGCGGCAACGTTTCGACCTGTCAGTTTCCATCGGACACGGAGTGCCGAAGTCGGGATAATTTCACGATAAACTCCACCCATGCATGCAAATGAACCGCTGATTGATGTCGAGTTTACTTGAGAGTATTGACGTCTAAGTCGATCGTATTGAATTATATCATGTTAACGTTATTTTATTATAAGTATAACACAATTTTATTCGCTTAAATGTTTCTATAATGATATAAAAAATAAAATCATACATGATCTATCAGTTTTACTTGCATTGTCAATTTAATCAATTAACATCAATCATTAATTTAATTTGAAAATTTTCTACATAACCGTATATTATATACTTCTATTTTATAAAAAAATATGATGTAACTTAAACAAAATAGAAATTGGGTACCATCATAGATCGTTCTTTAAGAAATGAAAAAGAACGGGAAAAAGGAAAACGTACTTTGTCATGTATACTTGTATGTTAAAGTGGTAGCAGTAATTAATCTAGGAGCGAGTAAGAAACCGAGTTTAATTGAAGTCGTGTCGGGCAGTAACTGTAAGTCCAATGTTCTCATGTAAGCAGATTTTGTATCCTGGGGGACAACATCGGATGACTATCTTGGGAAACACTATGAATAAACTAGCTAGAAGTTAAGCGCGCATGTATCGTCGGTGCACCAATACTGTGACCACCGAGTGCAGTATCTTTACGGTGCGTGGTCACATATCAAACATGAAAAAAACAGTGATAAGAAAATTATTTTTACGTAATACAATACAAATTCAACATTTATAGATTTATTTTATAAATATTATATATAACAGATATATAACTTACTCATATATCAATTGTAATATTATTAAAACATATTTTGTGGATTTACTTTTAATTACAATTTAAGCAATAAATAATAAAGTTCTACAAAATTCTCTCAAGCGTGTAATTTTCCTCAAATTCTACATAATTATTATAAAAAAGAATAACTGTAATTATTAATAAATAAGTACTTTACACGAGGCGATAGTGAAAAGTTTAAAGAGGTAATTAAATTGTTGAGTGTTATAGCTTGAATTGAAAATAATACGTTGAATATTTCTTGCGGTTTGTGGTGTGACTCGTTGCAGTTTAAATTATGAATACTCTATGTATACGAAGAACGGACTTTCATGGGAGTCGTTTGAAACGGCGGTTTTAATTAAAATAGCATTTCGAGCGTTTTACTGCTCTTCGTAATTTCGTGGGCGACATGTGAAATAGAGATCGAAAGAGAGAGAAAGAGAGAGAGAAAACGGCACCTTTTATTAAAATTGACATAGCGAGAAGCCATAAAGAGGAGCGTTATCACGAGTTGCGTTCAAGGTGTTGTAACAGAGTACGAACATTCATCAAAGTGGAAGGATGGTACGTCATTTACGATTCTACAATGTGAGAGAACTGCACCATTTACAGATTACTAACTAGGGAATTGGCATTGCTCGACCTAACGTACGTTGTATTTAAGGGATACCGAGGAAGACCGCGTTTCTAGAGACCGAAACGTGACGTGCGGAAATGAGCGCAATGCGACGCAATTTCTCACTGCGATCCGCGTCGCGGTTTTCAACTGAACGGCAGTTCAGTATAGAATAGAATTATCCTGGCTTTCAACGATGAGCATTGAGAAATGTTTCTGCAACGTTTTGCATGTTTATATATATAATAAAACTTATAAAATAGACGTACTGTGTAATCTATATTTCTGTATTCGAAAAGAATATGGTAATGTAGAAAACAGAATTTAAGTTCATTTTCTGTTCAATTAGACTTTGAAGTGTTCGTTTATTTACTGTCTTTTTTTTTTTTAAATAAAACAACTTTTTAAATCTACTTTTGTGAGAGGCTACATTACCATCTCTATTTCTCTTTCAGCCAATATGTAATATTGCAACATTTATGTACGTAGTGTTTTAAGTAATAAATGTTTCATAAGTTTGTGAGTTCAGAATCGATTAAACAACACTTTAAGAACGTAATCGATAAATTTGTAATTTAACTATTGATTATCAACTAAGTTATATATAAATTGTAAATGAAATGCAGCATTCTCTCCTCTCTAATGACTGAGCTTGTCACACGATTGATGTAAAATTCAGAGAAACGAGATCGATTTCAGAAGTCCGATATTTAGAGAGTTAAAAAAACGTGATAACACAGAAAGAATGACCGCGCTAGTTCTCGCCAAAATTGTGTTTTAGACTCGCAAGAATATTTTTACACATTATAATACATTTGAATAAATTGATTAAGTCTCTTTTAAATTCAACCAATAATCCTACAATAATAATAAAAATCATTAATAAAAAAAGGACTAAAAATAAAGATACCAAAGCACTAAGAAAAATAAAGAGTTAAATATCATCGACGTCGCACAAATCACAGAAGAGACCTTACCGAGATAATTGGTTGCACCACTCATACACATAAAGGTTCTGCGAAGCGCAAGATGAGAAAAAAATTGCAAGCCGAACTGAACGTGGCGGTACTTGACAACAATTTGTCTGAAGGACTATAGAGGAAACGTTCGTGTCTATTCCTACGGAAGATAGATTATCATATTGGTTTTTTTTTATACACTCTAATGACGACCACTTACGAACCGTGCTCGAAATGTCGATATGCCTCGACAGTGTGAAATATTGCGCTGAGTCGGCACGCACGAAAGGAAGCTGTCAACGATTACTTGCCTTCTCCTTTTTCGTTCCTCGCCTCGAGTGGATCGCGCGGTGACAGACGATCGAAATAATTGGATCGCCGGCTGTCTTAAACATGCGCATTTTAAGAAGACGGCCGAATGAATATTGAAGGTGCGAGCGAGCGGCGGCAGCTGAAAGATTCGATTTGGAAGTACTTTGAGAAATAGCGCTTTAGAATATAAATGCGATTTTTGTAAAAAAGATACTTGATGACGCTTTTAATAATATTCCAAGAAAGTAAGAGGAATAACTTTTCTTGCGGAGTTGCAATTATATTTTGACAAAGAACGAAGAAAATACAGCAATTGCTTTTGTGAAGAAGTTTCTTAGAGAAAGTTGTATAGTTAATTCTTCCAAATTTGCTACGATATTATACATATATATATGATATCTTAGAATGAAAGTTATATTTCTAAAACATCTAAAGATTTTTTTCTTTATATAAAAATTTCATAATAATTAAAGCAAAAAAAGAAAAGAACGATCAATGTACTGCAATAAATAGAACTAAATAAATTTTTATTAATTCTTTAATTGTATATTTAAATTTTTAATTATTATTTTGCTGTAGTAATAATAAAAAATAATAAAGATAAGAAGCTCATTTTTGTAAACATATTAATTTCAAATTTAATTAGATAGGGTTGAATTTGTAATTTAATTTTGTCCAATTCCAAAGGATTTAATTATATCCTTCTAATTTTTACATTTTTTTACAAAGGCAAAAACAAAGAATGAAAATCAAATTATAAAAAACAAACAAAAAAAAAATTCGCGTTTGATTTTCCTAAAATGATTAAATAGTTATAAAACTGTAACATATTGTTGTGAGAATGTTCGAATAGAAAATATTGAAATACGCACCGTATTAAAATAAAGCCCTTCAAAAATGTTCTACAAAAAACTGGAGAGAAATAAAAATTGAAAATATCTGTTTAGTTATCCGATGATAACATTTTAATAAAATATATAATTACAATTAACAACAACTATGTTTTTCTCTAATTAATAAATTAATACTGATTAGCCACAACTTGTTTTCCAAAATGATGTTGTACGAGATGGACTTTCATTAACTCTGTCAAGAATCGTGAAGAGGCTTGTTTTCGGAAGATTTGCTCGTCCTATCGGGACTGGTCAATCGCTCGTGCGGAAAGACGACATACCGTGGAACTTCAACGATTGCCGAGTTATACGAAAAGTTCATGAAGACTTTTCTTGCGTCTGGGAACGAATTCCCACTCTTGCGACGCTCCATCGTCATGGTTTAGTTATCGTGTAAAACATACGCGCTCGACTGGACACGTTATATGGGACCGGGTTGGTCGTAAAATTCTCATTATGACAGGGAGAAATTCTTGCTCATGTACGCAAGAATGCACCACGCGGTGGGATATCCGCGGAAAGGTCTCCGCAAAATGTGATAGTGACCGTGTATAATTTTCACGGATGCATTGCTCATGCCCCTTACGTATTTTTTCAACTTCTTCGTAATTACCGTAATATTGCGTTCAAATTCTTTGAAGAATATTATCATGTTTAGAAGCAAAATCATTTAGAACACATGGCTGTAAAATTAGAGAGGAGCAAGTCTATTTAACGAAATTTGAAAATACGTGAGGGAAATTATTGATCTCTTAATAATATTCAAGATACGTGAAGGAAATGGAACAGTAATCACTAAGCTATCTTATTTAAAATACGTGACTGAAGTAATTGACGGTTGATCGCACGTTTAAAGTATTCAAAGCACAGAGCTGCCTTTTTAAAATGTGTGATAAAATAATGATAATCAACAATGTGAGAGAGAAAGAGAAAGAGAGAATTAAAATATCAGATTCTGGAAGAAATAATAAAATATGCATATATTACGCTGTATTTATTACATTATTTTATAAAATAAATCTGTAGAATATAATGATATCACATATTGCAAGTTATGTATAATTTTATATAAAGATGAAG